TTGAATCGATTTTTTGCCCTCGGCATATATATTATCATTTCTTTCTTCAGCAGCAAGTATGTCAATACTAAGTCCGCAAGCTTTTTGCTTTTTATGCCAACTAACCAACTAATATTAGCCAAATATTTTCTTTCTATTTTCAATCATATTTTTTTTTTAATCAATCACTCATTGATTTTTGTTATCATTATCAGTACAAATAGATTGATTATTCTATAGGTTATCAGTATCCTTAATCCGTCAATTTTTTATTTTAAATCGCAATCATATTTGCAAGGATAATCAAATGATAATAAAGAATTATCTATGCTTCTATTTTTATCATATCTTTTAGTGAAGAATAATTTATAGCGGAAATAACTAAATTATTCGTATCATATACACATAGAGAAAAAAAATTATCAGTATTTATTATCAGTATTTATCCTTATTTTGATTTTGGCTTCAACCATTACATTCATTTCTCTTTTATTCATGAAATATACAGATAGTTCATTAAAAATATTCGCTATATCCTATATTTCATTAAAATTTCATAATCATAAATGAAACAATTGATGCGGATAAAACCAATTAAATGCATTCCTTAATCTTAACGATAGATACCATTCATCGTTTTCCTAATAAATAATTTCAGAAGATTCGATTAGATTCGAAGCAAATCAGTTCAGATATTTCCAAAATAATTGCCGTTACCCATGAATGAAATTATCCAACCCCGCCTGTTATGAACAAATAATAGCAAATAGTGAAAATTAGTTATTTTCTCCTATTTTTCCTACTTTGACTTTTACCAAGTTTAATCACGAAAACGAAATTTGATTTGAATTTGTTATCATGTCAAAGGTTGCGAATCTTTTTTTTAGCCAAAAAATTTATTATTTTCGCTTAAAATAAATTAAATATTGAAAATATTTTTACAAATTAATTCAATAATAACAATGAAATGATTTTGTTTGTTCCGATTTTTAAAAAAAAATTTTTTACAGAAAATTCTACGGTATTTTTTATATTACTTATGATGTAATTAATATTTTAAAGGGAACTCGAATTTTCCTCGGATTTTTTGATTTGTTCCAATAATCCTTGTTTTATCGTTTATGCGTGTATTTTATTCGTTAATTTTGATGATTTTGATTTTTTTCTATTTTTTATTTAAACGAATATTTCATTATAATAGAAGTGGTACAAATTGGCCTGGTAAACTAAGAACTAAGCCAAGAACCACATCAACTATGGTAAAAATTGATTTGAACGAAGCGGAACCTGACCCAAACTTAAATTTGGAATATGCACCAGAAGAGCAACCAATGGAGATCGCAACAACTATGGCCACCACATTACAAACGTAAATTTTTCTTACCATTTATAAATAATAATTCGCTTTTTTGGCTTTGATATTTTATTATTTTTTCATGGCTTTTTTTTGTTAATTTTAATATTTCAATATTAATATTTCTGAAAACCATATATTAAGGATTCGATGAGAGATAACTTATCGTATAAAAGTGCAATAGTTATTTTGTTTGCATTCGTTTCATTTTATAGTCTTGCTTATCAGCAAATATCATCGAATCGTATAGATAGTTTCTATGTTTCGTTGAATAGATTTTTGATCATTATCAATTAGTTTTTATCAATAAATTCTGAATTATAAGCTAAATAACTATAAGCTCTTTCAGTGGCAATTGATACCAGTTCAATTTCTTTTTTTTTTTAAATATTTTTTCAAACACACATCATTGTTTGTTAGTTTTAAATTAAATGGACTGATTCCATGTATTATCATTATCATTCAAACTGCAATGTTGAATGTTGCGAGAAACGGTTAATACTAATGTTTTTATCCATTCAATTTATGCTAATTTATTACGTTAGTAATACGAGATGTATAGGCTATTGATGAATACATCATGGTTTGGCCTCTATTTCTTGACTGGAATAAACTTATCATTAAAAAATTCGAATACTGTTGGAGATGCTTTGCCACTTCCATCTGCAAATAAATTTTTAGTTGCAAACAGTGGTGATCAGTGAAGGCAGCTAAGCTAAAAGTAACGAATTATACGGTACCAAAACGCTTGAATAGAAACCAAATTAGAAACGATATTTTTAACATGTTATAATTATTATTATTTAATTATAATTATAGTTATTTTTATTTATTCTATTTATTTTATTTATTTTTATTTAATTATAATTATTTTTATTTAATTATGATTATTATTTTAAGAAGAGAAAAGAAGTTCGTAATCTCATTTTATTTATTTCATTTTATCTTCATACTTAAATGGATTAATATTGGTTTCAATATAAGCGGCTTAAATTTATTCGCCTTCATGATTGATGCACTTTTGCCTGAAATAAAATAAATTAATATTAACTATAATAAATAATATTAGAAAAAATGTCGATTGGTGTTTCTACCAAAATTGCGCAAAATTTTTTATATATCCTCTTATAAATTTGAATTTCCACATAAAATTCACCATTCATTTTATTAAATTTGATATTTTTCTATGAGATAATAATATATTTACAAATAATATATTAATAATAAATAATAATATAGAATTGAAAAATAAAGATTTATTATCAAAAATCAAAAAATTTTTCTATATTTCTATTGCTAGATGACTTCTTGGCAAAAATTTTTCATACTAACAGCCAGTTAGCTAACAATGGAATCGCGGTTTAAGGCGACTTAAAAGATATATAAGCAAACAAGTGATTAGCATTGAATAATCATTACTACATAAATTTAATGCACTGATTACTGTGCTGAGCGTCAAATTTTACTAAAATATCGCTTCGACAGTTCACTTGGATTTTTTATGAATAGACTTATTTCTACAAGAACCAAGGAATCGAAAAGCTGTAATCTAAACAACACACATTCGATTTTAATATTTTATTTAGAGTAATATTTATATATATTTTAATAATATTTTATATCTTTTCATCAAATGATAAAATAAAAAATAACTATACAATTTATTTATTTTAGTGTGCAAACAACAACGAAAGAATCGGTTAAAAATGCGGTGGTGAATTTTGTTGGTGACAAAGCACGGAAATTGACAGACATAGCAAAACAAAAAGTGATGGAAAAAACTGGAAGTTAGTCAGTTAGCTCAGAAATTTTATGAACACCTTTTTTTTATCATCGCTTCTTGTTTAATTAATTCATTATTTTATAAAAATTTAATGATTTAATGAAATGTTGGAAGTAATTCATTTCTTTCGAGAATTATTTTTATTATTTTTGAATAAAACGACACCAATAAACACCAAGAAATTTCTGACAAGTCACCCTTCACCACCATTTTTCATATTCAGTTCAGTTTTTTTTTTTATAAAAAAATTTTCTCAAAAATATTATCTTTCTCAAAATAAATTCTTCTAAATCCATTTTTTTTCCCTCATTTTGATGAAATATTTGCGAAAGTAGAACCATTATTTTTTGCTTATCAAACTTTTTATCGTTCTTATCATTATTTATTTTCCAATTTTATTTAATTTGCAAAAACGACATTGCAATCAAAATCACAAGAGTTTTCCAATAAAAAATTAAAAATATATTTTATTTAATCTTATAAACAAAAAACATTTCTATAAAATCATAATGGCTCTTTATTTTCATCGATAAAATAAAAATTTTAAAAATTTCTTAGGTAGAAAAATTTTAGAAAAATCAAATTCTATTGGAAAAATTAAAACTGAAGTTTAAGTTTAAGTTTAAGTTTTAAAATTAAAATTAAAATAGCTTTTAAAATCAATAAATTTTGATAAAATTCTAATTTTATTAAAATTTTGATAATAAATTAGAAATAAATTACATTGTATGAATAAATAATAATTGTTTTCAGTGCCGGAATGGAGTTTTGTTGCGCTTGGTATAATATGTTTAGCACTCGTACTATTATGTGCATTTATGTGTATACGAAAACTATTCGGAAAAAAACGACATGGTGATAAAAACAAGAAGGGTTTTAAGGGTTTCTTTGGTGGAAAAGGTCCAGATCTAGTCACTATTGATAGAAATAAGGTTGTGTGATATATATTTAGGCTTTTATCCAATTTTCTTTTTTTGAGATTTTCTAAAATTATTTACGAATAAACGAATAAAAAATAGTTGAAATATTTTGAAATTAGATTAAATAGTAAATTATATTGAAATATTTATAAAATTTTAGTTTCAAACGGATTTAGAGGAATTAGAAGAAAATATGGAACAAAATGAACAAGAACAACGAGAAGAAAAAGAAGAGGTTTTCAATTTTTTTCTTTTTTCACCACTCTTGTCACATTTCATTTTTCATTCACAAACAAAAAAATATTTGTTTAACAAATGTTTACCCAAAGAAATAATGTAATTGCAAAATTCTAATATAATTAATAAAATTTTATAAATTCTGAATATTTGCATATTTCGTGTTTCATTTAAATTTCATTTAAATTTATATGAATCAAAATTTTAAAATTTTCCTAAAAAAAACGTAATAAAAGTTATTAAAATTATAAAAAAATTTTAAATTATAAATTTTTATTAATTTATTAAGTTTTATTAATTATAAAAAAAATATTCAATCGCATAATTCGAACTTTTGATTTACACTGAATTTTCGATTTAATTAATATTAATATTAATATTTAATATTTAATATGTTTTATTTGTTAAAATATTGGCCTTTTTGAAAGATTTTTCATTTTTCATTCTTATTTTCTGATAATTTTTAAATAATGAGAAAAAGTTTAGAAACACTTAAAGGATAACGAATAGCTTGACATATATGGTAATAATCATCAATGTGGTTTTGCCTTAGAAATTTTTAACGAATCCGTCGAACTGTTGTGCTTTTAGTTATTTGTCCAAATAGATAAACGATAGGTCATTATTATTTACCTTCTATTATTGGTTTTTTTAAATGTTTGAGTAAGGATAGACTCCGTTAGGTTTTTCATGAGCCCAAGTATAGCATTTTTCTCTCAACCAGAATATGCCTGACAGTGAAGGTGAAATTTGGATGATAACGGAACTCACTTGCACTTCTATATGGAATTCCCTAGCGAAAAAGGTAAAAATGGTGTCAGCCGAATGCTGAAAAAGAAGTAGTTGAATAAATGGTTAGATAAATGCTCAATTAGGAAATTATCCCACTCATCTAATAACAAGTTGGATCGGAAGAACTCATTTATTCCTCGTGGCAAATAATTTTCGTCATTCAGTAATTCATTTAGTAAATTGGTAAATAATGCCGATAAGTATGAGAAGCAAATTGGCTAAAATAATTGGCCGATGATTTTTTCGTATTCCAAGAAGAACCAAAAAAAAATTCAATAGTAAAAGATATATTATATTTTTATTATCAAAAAATGATTTTCATTTTTATCATTAAGATTTATTCTTGATTTTCTGATAAAAGTTTTTTTCTCAATTTTCTGAGCTTTTTCCTTCTATCTCTGTCTTTTTTTTCTATTCTATTCTAAGTTATCCTTGAAAATATATATAATAATTGAAAAAGTAAATCAGCAGATCCTTAAATTTTTTTTATAAAAATATTGAATTTTTTAATGAAAAATATTGAATCAAATTTTTTTCTATATATTTTAAGATTTCATGAATTAATGCTTATTTAATCTTTATTTGCAAAATAAATTGAAATTTTCGAAAAAAAAATTAAAAATTTTTCTGAAAAGAAATGGAAATTTTCTTAAAAATCAGTAAAGAAAGAACAATTTTTAAACAATTTTTATTTTGAAAGAAAATTTTCAAAAAAACAATCAAATTTTTTTTAATGCAAATTCTATTTTATAGGTGAAACTCGGAAGATTACAATACAAACTGGATTATGACTTTCAGCAAAATCAGGTGATAATTTATGAATTCATTTTTTTATTTTATTCATTTAAATTTTCATAAATTTTTCTATCAATTTTTATCTTATTATGTAAATATTTTTGATATATTTAGCTGCTCTAAAATATGAATTTGGCTCTACTGGCTCCATGCAATTCTATGGAGAAAACCCTTTTTTATTTATTTTTAGTTCATCAAATTTTCTAGAATTTTCAAAAATATTTTTAATATTTTTCATTTAATTTGATTATCACATATATTTATAGTATTTATGGTAACTTTAATTTTTAATTACCGATAAAAACCATAGATAATTTTTTTACGCCGCTTTTCCATTATGTTAAATTTTGTTTTGCACAATTAAAAATTATTGTCCTAAGACGAGGAGAAGAGGAGAAGTCCATAGATCAGTTTTAAAAAGAAGCACCACATCATAGTTTCTGGAAAAGCGGCGTAAAAAAATTATTTATTTTTTATATAAAGATAAAAATAACTTGGAATTCCCTAATTTTTACTAATTTTTGAAAAAAATCAGTTAAAAAATTATGCAAATAAATATAAACTAACTCACCTATTTGCCTAACCTATCCTCCTAGGTAATATATTTAGCAGTCTTTCGTAATTCTGTCCAAGAATAATTTCTACTGAAGAAATATCTTAAGTTTGGCCAATAAAGCGATGTTTTGGAGCTATTTGGAGAAATAAATTCTCTTAAAAAAAATTATTGGCGAAAAAATTAAGCAAAAAATCATTTTTAAGTACGATGATATTGTGATCTGTGATAATATTGATCTTTCTAGCGATTATTTCTTTTTTTTGGAGATGAAGAACATTTTTAATTATCGGATGGTGATTCGATTTGATTTCCCTCCTTCTTGGTTCCTTCATTAACAATTGATTTTGGTATTGAATTTTTAAATATTTACTTTAACCAAAATTAAACTATCATTATGTGTTGAGCCTGATAACACTCAGTGAATTTTATATGGAACATATGCAATCTCTATTTTATGGGAGACAATAATGATTTGATAATGATGGGAGATAATATCTGCTTTAACTGATTTGAATAATATGGTTAATTGGTTCCGTGATAAGTAAATCAAAAAAAAAAAATAAGTTAAAAAAAATAGAATTTTGTATATTAACCTGAAATGATCAGATACTCATCTTGTTTTCATCGAGAATCTTAAACAGTATCGATAATCTCTCACCCTTAATGGTTAGGCTGCTAGGTATCTAGGCTTTGATAATAATCTTAATTTTGATCTCTACACTGGGATGATAGCCGAAATCGACTAAAATCTTAAATTACTCAAGACTTTCAATAACAAAACCGATAATTTTCTCATTAATATGTATAAAATTTTCTCTGCGCCCCTCGCTTACTGTAAATTAGAATAGAATACTGTAAATTAGTCTCCAAGGAATAATAACTCAGTCAAGCTGATTGAAAGTTTATAGAAACATCTGCTATGCCATCTAAATTCAGACCATATATTTAAATCTGAAAACTGTATGATTCAGATTTATTAAAGATTAGAAGCTTAAAAAAAAACCTGATATTGGTTCCACTAGTCTGGTCTCGACGAATTATTATAATCTCTCGTTAAATTTGAGCAATACGAAGGATAATAGAGATAATATGCAAATTTATATGTAAGACAAAGGGTGATATCTCGAAATTTTTTTATTCGAAGCACTACTAAAATACTACTGGAATAAATTGCCTTCAAATTTATTATTTCGATCATCAGTATTTAGTTTTAAATATAAATTAAATAATGCCAAAACTATTTAGCATTAATTTGCATAAAATTATTCTCAGTGCATTATATTTCCTAAATATATTTCGTGTCACATTTTTTTTCCTATTTAATATGTCCTTATTTATTTTGCATATATATTGCTAAATTTTATTGATAGCTCTTTTTTTTATTAACTTTGGATTATCCGCTATTTATCACTGTTATCACTTATTAGCAATCATATGGAAATAGCTTTTCACAACTTTTTTTTTGTAAAAATAAATAAAAGAATTTTAGCGAATTGTTTATCTATCATTTTGTTTTAGTTAGCTGTAACTGTAATTCAAGCGGAAGATCTGCCAGGAATGGATATGAGTGGTACTTCAGATCCATATGTCAAGTTATACCTTTTGCCAGAAAAAAAGAAAAAAGTGGAAACGAAAGTTCATCGAAAAACACTGAATCCAGTTTTCAATGAAACATTCATTTTTAAGGTGATTTACTATGAGAAATATTTAATCTTTTTGTTTTATTTTTATATAACAATATGTGTTATCTTAACAAAAATTTGAATTACCATTTTTCACCGATAATGCATTATTTCAGGTACCATTTGCTGAAATCGCTTCAAAAACTCTTGTGTTTGCTGTTTATGATTTTGATCGGTTCTCCAAACATGATCAAATCGGTCAAGTTCTCATACCTCTTGGAAAAATCGATCTTGGGCAAGTAATTGAAGAATGGAAAGATATAGCACCACCACCAGATGATAAAGAAGCTGTGAGTCGGTCAAATTGTTATTTTGTTATTTATCATTTTAAAATCTTTTTCGTTATATAATAAAAATTAGCTTTTCGTTTATAGGAGAAGAGCTTGGGCGATATTTGCTTTTCCTTAAGATATGTACCTACAGCTGGTAAATTGACAGTGGTAATACTTGAGGCAAAAAATCTCAAAAAAATGGATGTTGGAGGCTTATCAGGTTGATTTTTCAAGCAAAATTTCTTTCATCCTCGTCTTCGAATTTTGTTTTTTCATTTTTTTTCAATCAATTTTTGTCATTTAAAAATATTTAAATTTCATTTAAAATCTCTTTTAAAAAAATTTAAAATATTTTCCAATAATTTTAATCCAATCGCCTTTGGACAAAAATCTGAAGAAATTCCAAGAAATTTTTTCTTTTTGCTCTAAATAGTCATCGTTTTTTACAAGTACTTAAGCGAGATATTCCATTGTGCCTATCGCAAACCTCTTTCCTTCTAATAGCACCATTTGATTTGGCTGTTTGCTCTAAATATACTAAATATAAGGCATCCTAGCCAAAAAGTTATGGGGATAGATAAGCAGATGGGTTCCAGCACCATATCCATAAATCTTTCTAAATTTTTGCAAATTCGCAAATTCATTTTCGTTCTGATTTATAATTTTTAGTTAAATGATAAGAGAAATTTTTAAATAAAACTATTTTTTTGAGATTTAATAGCTCAAATCATTTTATTATATGGAAATTATATAAAAAATTAATATTATATAGATCCGTATGTGAAAATCGTATTAATGCAAGGCGGTAAACGGCTTAAAAAGAAAAAGACGAGTATTAAAAAATGCACATTGAATCCCTATTATAATGAATCATTCTCATTTGAAGTACCATTTGAGCAAATTCAGGTTTGCTGAAAACTTTATTAGATTTTTTTTTATTGAAATTAATTATCGAGTATTTATATCAAGGAAATCATATCATTTAAGGAGAAATTTGATTTTTTTATATCATTCAAAAAATATATTTAGACAAAAATTTTTTCTCTTGAAATGATTTTTTATCCAAAATAATTTGAAATAATTTGCAATATTATATAATATGGATGTACATTTTTATCGCTAAATGGTTTTCAGAAAGTCTCATTGATGATAACTGTGATGGATTATGATAAACTTGGTTCAAATGATGCGATAGGCCGTTGCTTACTTGGTTGTTCTGCATCTGGTGCTGAATTACGTCATTGGATGGATATGTTAGCTAGCCCTCGTCGTCCGATTGCCCAGTGGCATACGTTAGGGCCAGTTGATGAACCAGAAAAAACCTGAATATTATAAATGAAAACAGGCTATATTTAAGTCAATTTCACTAATCTTAATTTGCAAAAAAAAAGAAAATTTTAAATTTTCCCTTATTTTAAAAACGAATTGAATTGATCGGACATATATATCAGAATAGAGGATAGGCTCGTACTACAATGTTACGAAAAGCCTTAATCACTTGCTTGGTCTTCAAACCTGACAATTTCTAAATAGTAAAAGGAACTAAAAAATAAGAAATTTTTTAAAAATTATGGCCAAATTTATTTTTTTTTTGCAAATTTTAAATTAATATAAATTGTAATTTTTCAAATAATTCAGTATTATTATTGTAATCAAATGGATAGTTTTCCATTTTCACGTTCCAAAATCAGTCAGTCCGCAATAAAGATCGAAAAAAAACTTTTATGAAAATTTATCTATCAATCGTTCGTGAAAATTCTTGATGAAAAAATTTATTCCACAAAAAACATGGATATGCAAATATTCGCTAGGCAGCCTTAAAGGATTGAATCGATGACGATAATTCTTTTTTTTTTGTATTTATTTATTTAGTAAATTGGTATGCATGCATTATTTCTTTTTATTATTCAATGGTTTCACTGGGCTATGGCATGCGTTTGTTATTCGTTCATTGGCCATCAGTAATTAAGAATTAAGCTTCTGGTCTCATTTGATATTCAAATTTTTGTTTATTTATTTTACAGTTTCTCAGGATTTTTCAGAATTCAATTGCTTATGCTCCAGTTTAAAGCCCTATTCTCACGTGCAATTAGTTTTTTTTTTTCTTTTTGCTGGTATTAGAGAATTAGCTCTAGTTCACCTATTCAAAAAACCTGATCTCTTTGGTGGTAAGACAGGCATTTTTTATTTCTATGTTTTCTTTCTTACTTCAACATTCTGATCTCTGATATGTATTTTTTTTTTTTTGTTAAAAATTTTTATTGTTTACAATACTTTTTATTGTTTTAATTTTACAAATGTTTAGTTTTTTATAAGTTCTCTGCTTTTATAATTCATAATAATTTATTTTTTTTATCATTTTTTTAAATGGTATTTTACTATGATCATCGCTGGCGAAATTCTTTTTTTAGCGAGAATTTTGTTTAATTTATATATAGTTTTTTTTCCAAGAATTGAAAAAAATTATCAGTTAGTTTATCATTTGTCGCTTATCATTTCAGCATGCATTATTTACCTATTTGGGTCTCATTTGTCAGCTATGGTAATAGTATCTGTCTTTTCATCTTTTTAGCTAATAGAAAACATTTTTTTCAATTTTCTGATATATTTGAAGAAAAAAAACAAGTGGACTAATTGCTTATTCAATGTTGTAGTAGTTATTTTATAAAGTATATATTTAGAATCGCTCATTCTACATTTTTTAAAAAACTTTTTGAAATTTATTCTCTAATTTCCCCCAATCGAAACAAGCGATTTCTCCACTCATTTGTAATGCAAATCTACTCCATCTAATGGATGATTGACTGAATTTTCTGATGTTGAAAAGATGAAAAGCTTTTTTGCTTAAAAGAGATTTATTCTTTTATAAAATACGGATAAGAAGAGATATAAGAAGAGATTTGCAGTAATTCATAAACTAAATGATAGCTTTAGAATTTTAAAAGAAAATTTTACATTAAAAAAATCAAAGATTTTCGCGATTTTTTAGTGAACGAAAAAGTATCAATCATTGTAATTATTAAACAAATTCCTAACAAATAATTCTTCTTTTTTATCACTTTGTAATCACTGAATTTATAAATGCTTTTTTTAAGTGTATAAATAGTAGATTATCGAATAATAATTTTTTTTTTTAAACCAAATTTTTCGATATTTTTAGAAGAAATATGAAAAAGAAAATCCAAAATAATATATTTATATTTAAAAAAATAATAACTATGAGAAATACCTTTTTTTTTCACGAATAATCTTCTATTTAATTGAATTCTCTATTAAAAGAATTATTAAAGGAAACAAAAAAAAGACTTTAGAAAAGATTTAGAAGACTATAAATTAGAATTTGCAAAATAAGGATTCAATACAAATTTGCAAAAAAATATCGCCTCATAAATTTATAAAAATTAATTGAACTTTACATTTTGCAAATATTCTTAAAGAACTGCTATTATAATTTTTTTTTGTATAGTTGCCATGGAAAGTTAAAGATTTCGATGAATTTAACAGAGATTTCTTTAGGATAAATATGAGGGAAACAATTCAACGATATAAAAATATGAAAAAATAAATGAAATAAATATATATAAATAAAATAAAATAAATGAAATAAATAAATGAAATAAATGAAATACAAAAATAAATGACAATTGCAAGAATTGTCTTTAAAAGGATGGTACTTTTAAAAAAAATGGATTTAAGGAGATAACTTGAAAATCCCCGCATCTTTCTTATTTATGCTTTCAAATTTAGGGAAAAAAAGCTTTGCCTAAAAAAAAACGTATCATGAAATAATTGAACCAGTCTATTGGAACATTATTTCATAAATTCGCCCTATGGCGATTAATTCTTCTTGATAATAGGAAACTGTTTCGCTTTCTCCGCAAAGCAACCATATGCCGAGAAGGGTCAGTGAATCAAAGATCGCCTTAGAAGATGGAAAGAATTTTTTGAGGCCTTAACCACTATGCACCATCTATATAACTGATCCCGAATATAACTGATTTGCCCGTCGAACCTTATGTTTGCAATTGTGAGCCACCAACAGAAGAGAAAATACTCTCTGGTAATCAATAAGGCTAATAAACTTCTGGAGAAGATGGTCCTCGGGTCGAACTTTTGGCTACTTTAAAAAATATTTTAATATATTGGGTCATCGTAAAAGTTCTTGTTGCCGTTTTTGGTGTCTGGATTTAGGCTCACCATATGTACAGCCCACCAGGAATAATAATAAACATGGCAATCACCAATGGCCAATAAAAAAGCATTCATCATTTATGACAACATGCGATCACATGTCTCAAGAATCACTTTGAATATCCAAATTCCTTCATCATATTTCCCAGACATTTCGCCAATAGATTTCCACTCTTTCTATTCTCTCGGTAAACTTCCTAAAGAAGAAATACTTTGGAGAATGGGAGGATTTCAAAACCACTGCTCTGCCAGTAGTTAAATGATTTCAGAAAATGGAATAAATTGAAATAACTGGACGTTGGAATACACTGGAAAAAATTTAACTTAATTTTAGTAGTACTTTTTTTGAATAAAATGTTGGTTTTCAATAATGATCTTACGAAATAAAAGGTACAAAATGGCGATAATTTTTAGATCACTTAATTATTAGCTAAGAAAATAAGGGGAATAGAGGATGGTTCAGTGGGGCTGTTGCTTCGGAGCCCTGTTTTATTCCCAGTAGGAGTAAACCGGGATTATGTCGGCGATTCACCTGTATTTCTATCGCCGAGGGACTCCCTGGTACATTTGTCCGGTGTGACAAGCGCGGAGCGAGTTTAACCAGTAATGGTGAAAACTCTCAAAATAAAAGAAAAAATTTATTAGCCAAAAAATAAAGGCAGTAAAATAAAAAATATTATATCAATGACCAATAATTTTGCTAGTAAAAATGCTGAAATATTATTTCCAGAAAATATTTTTAAGGAAACCAGAAATCGTAAATTAAAGAATTTTATAAAAAAAAAAAAATAATTTTATAAAAAATCATATTGGAATTTAAATGAAACGCGATAGTATAAAATAAAATAAAATAAAATTTTGAAATAAAACATGTAACTAATAATGTAAACAACAACAAATAAAATTAACAAATTTTAAAAATTTTAAAATAGAATAAATTTATTAATTGATAAAATACAAAGTCGCAATAAATTGAATATATTAATTAAAGAAATAAAATGAAGCAAACATATTAGTTCCACAAAATTCAACCCGCAATCATACCCAATCTTATTCATCGAACCTAAATCACCGAATAAGGGATTTTACTTTTTATTAAGCTTCGTTTTTTATCATTTATTCGAGAATTAGACGAAAAAATCAAATCATTGAAATCATATTCGGAAAAAAAATAAAAAATAAAAAATATTGCATAAATATTAAAATAACTAATTTTTAAATGAGCTAAATAAATAATTAAAATTGAAAAAAAAATCGTTAAATTAAGTATTAAAACTTTTAAATTAAAACTTTACAACGCACATTATGAAATAATAAGTATTGAAATATAAAATAAAATTCCTAAGGCATATATTTTAAGCCAACAAAATGAGAACTAAATTATCCATAACAATTTCAACAGAATATATTTGAAGTGAATATATAGGGTGCGAAATTTTGAAATTTGAATTAATTTTTTTATAAAAAGTTGCATTTTTTCAAAATACGAATTAAAAAATGATTGCAAATAAAAGAGTTACTAGCATTCAGTACTAAGATGATAACGAATTGAACTACTCATAAGTGATAATCTAGCTTTATCAACCAATAACTGAGCTTGACGACTTTCTGGGCACTGATAAACAGGCATTTGACAATTCGGTACCATAGAAAAAGTAAATAGGCGTCGATTAGGATGCATAATGGTCAACTTAATCTGACCGCAGTCATCCTGATGCAATACTAATTTATAATGCGTATGAAGAAAATTGATCTGAAAATTTCAGAAATTATTTTTTCAGCAAAATCACGATGTACAAAAATCATTATTTTTATTTTTATAGAAAAAGTATGCTAAAATATTTCTTTGCAAATAATAATAATTTGTTTCAACCTGTGCAAATCCATGAGCATGTATCATTAAAAGGATTCCATTTCGTCGTTTTTGCAAAATCAAAGGATTTGCTTGAGAAGGCACAAATGGATATGAAACGATCATTTGTAGTTCAGCGTCCATGAAGGTGCTTAAAAAAATCTTTTTAAAATTTTTAAATAATTAAATTTTTTATTTAATATATTTTTAAAAAATTTATAATAGGCATATTTCTTTAAATAAAAATATTGTTAAAATCATCTAGCATTCTTCATTTGATTTCATTCATTTTGATAAATGAAAAATGACCTAAAAAAAAAGCCTAAAAAATCGTAAAATACCTAATCAATGATGTAATTTTCATTTTTTCTATTAAATTTGAATTTACAATAACATCATTCGTAGTCCATTCAATTGGACACAATGGATCTTGTTCAGTATTGGCAAAAAATGAATATCGACCAGTGTTAGCGGTTTCACGCCTACAAAGAGATTTGTTATTACAGTGAAATTAAAATATAATATTCCTTAATCTATATTCCTTGATAAGAGTAGACCTATCAGCCAAAATCAAGATAAAGTAAAAGTAAAATATGGATGATGCTGAGGATTTACCTATAATTCTATAACAAGTGATCAATGCAATGGTTATCATTGCATAAAATATTTTTTTAAAGAGCACTCATTCATGGTTAGACTCCTTCCGCTGGCTTGTGGATTAGAATATGCCAGAGAGTCTCTTGGGGGATAGAAGTACCAATGAGTCGCCAGCACTATCTGGTTCATTAGAAAGGTTTAGTCTTATGGGAGAGTGGAACCTCAGGATATCGATGCTCCAATATAGGGTAAATAAAGCAACTTTTATATAGAATTTTATGCAAATAATTTATAAATAATTTAATGCAAATTTTTATAATTTAAATAATTTTAATACAATTTTTATAATTAAATGCAAATTTTTAAATAAATAATAAATTTTTTTTTTGTAAATTTATAAATTTGATTATTTAAGAAATGTTTTTTTATGGAGAAAAAATAAATAAATGTATGAAATAAATGATATGCTTAATTCGAAATTGCTGAAAGGAATATGGCAGCCTAAAAGGACACCTGTGAATATCTATCTAAGTTTTTTTTTTCACCATTCCTACCTGTATTTCAGATTTAATGAGGCTATAAATATTCTTTCAAAACGTAATTTTGCCTTATCACCATTTGATTTCAATAATTTTGATGAAAAAAAAAGAGTCTATTATATTTTCCAAAGACGAAAAAATATGTATATGCTAAGTATATGAATGTATTAGACGCAAGAAAATGCATGAAAAAAATTCATTTTCTTTTTTTATGATGCAAATGAAAAATGTGGCTTTTTTACGGCATTAAAATACCTTATTAATTGGTTAAATGACCTTTTTCTTTTTCATCTTTCGAAAAATTGCAATAAAAATTCCATTGCGTATCATTAATTTCTTTCAAATGCTAAATTATTTTTGAAACAAATTTTATAATTTTTTTCATTCCAATTTTTTTTATTTCAAACTGAATTTTTCACCTAAAAACCATAGAAGAATTATTATTGAATAGAACACAACGTGAGCCATCGCTTAGAACGCAACCAAAGCCATATCGATTCCTATAATCCACCCATTTACTGACCATTAATATCCCCGAAATTGTTTGTGGTGGATCGTTAGATACTTTAAAAAAAAAAAAAATTATTTATTAGAAATTTAATATAAAATTATAAAATTTTTTATATTTTATACTGATAATTTATTGGTATCACAATGATTAATGTGAAACAAAAAAATAATAATAACCTTGATAGTGACCAGCCATTACAAGTTCATACAAATTTAGCGGATTAATTGATTGCGTTTTTAAAGGAAAATACCCATCGGAAACAATACCCGAATCGCCAGAATGTACTCCACCGTTAGATATAGGATTCACTTCCTCTGTTGTACGACATAACTGAAAAGAAAACATCTGAATTCAAAGGCAAAAAAATAATGCAGAAGGTTGGAATCCTTCACTCTTCCTCTCTCCCATCTCCCGGCTTTATATTCCTTTTTTCCTAATACAACAAATCCAGTATCACTTATTAACAAGTCACTAAGGGGATTTTTTGATTGAGGGAAAACTTCCGGAATTTCTCAAAGTTTTTCATCCAATCATCCAAATTCATCGTTTTTCAATCTAGAAGAAGGTGATTTGAATAGCTCTTATGGGAAATTTTAAAAAAGTTTTCATATAATTATTTACAGATTATTTATAGAAACGAGAGTGTCGTGAAAGAATCAACTACTTGCTTCATATACATAATTTTTAACTTGCATATGCCGTTTGATTGCAAAAAATCAAAAATATATCTTTACCGATCCAAAACATTTATAATTATCCAAAATCGATGAGGTGTCCTGTGAATCCTTCTGCGATGTTATTAAAGAAAGCAAATAATTACTACTGAAAAAAAGTGAAAATTGAAATTGACTATTATAATAATTCCAAATATAGTTTAAAAATGATTTTAAAAAATGCTTTTGATTTTTTAAAAATTTAAAAAAAATAGAATATTCAATTTAGAATATCTAATTCAGAATATCTAATTTTGAATTGAATTAGCTGAATATATATAAATGATAATAATGATGAATGATAAATGATGATAATGATAATTACTTCCTATGTTCGGTGTCAAAATATCGATGCATTTTGATCATTGGAATTTTTAGGCGCAGTGCCATGTCCGGATGAAGCAGTCTGAAATATTGCTTAGGATCGATCAAAATATCCTTTTTGAATGAAAAAAAAATTTTGAAATTTTTGATTATTTATAATTAACTTGGCCAGAATTACCAGCAAGATAAAATAATGATAAATGATAATAAAAATTCACTTAGTAATAAGATCCTGAGCAGATTCAGAAATACATCCAATAGGAAAATCATAATCACATCTAAGAATCCGCGAATACGTATCTTCGACAGAATCTGTTTCGAAAGGTGGTTTACCAATTAGCATGCAATATAATATACAACCAAGCGACCATGCCTCCGATTCTTTTGAATGGCCTTGATGTTCTAGTACCTTAAAATATTGGAGCATATTTTGAAAAAAAAAATTAAAGTTGAATAAGAAAAGAGCTAAATTTTTTTGAGCGAAAAACCTGCGGTGATATATAATTTGGAGTACCACAAACACAAATCGAAGCGAACGGTAAATCTTCAATTTGTATAGCGAGACCAAAATCAGCGAGTTTCACCTGAACTATATTAGTAGTGGAAAAGAATGAAATAAACTGGTTTAATTTGATATTGCAAATTAAAATTAATTGTTAATTAATTAATTAATTAAAAAATTAACCGTTAATTTATAATAGATATGTCAAAATAAATTTTTTATTTTTAAATTTAGAAATATAAAATAGATATAAAAATAAAAATAAATTAAAAATATAAATATTAGATAAAAAAAACTACCTGATGATGATCGTTGATTAAAATATTTCCTGGTTTGAGATCCCGATGAAGAATGCAACATATTTCATGCAAATATAGTACAGCATCAATAACCTGAGAGAAATACGAACGAGCCACATCGTTTCGCAAATGTCGATCTAAATTTTGGACAGTTACCTTATCATATATCGTCCAACACAATTTTTGTTCCAAAAAAAATAAAATATATTAAAAAATAAATATAAAAATAAAAATATAATAAAAATAAAAAATAAAAATACTCACATAAAAATGGACTTTTTGTAGTAATTCTATAAAAATTCTAGGAATTCTAACTACAAACTGATAAGACTGATAAGAAAAAAGTTAAAAGATCTATGAAAAAAAATGATGGAAAACGAACCTTCGGAAGTGTGAATCTGATGTAGAAGAGTACTATTAGCGCAAAATTCGAGCACTAAATAAATATTCAATTTATCCTCAAAAAAATTCAACAATGCGACAATATTCGAATGTTCTAATTTTTTATGTATGGAAATTTCCTTGAGTATTTTCTCTTGTTGTGTTTGTTTCGATAATCGTTTCTTATCTACAACTTTTAATGCGACCTGACGTTGATGGTCTCGATTGAATTCCATCGCAGAGAAACATTTCGCGAAACCACCCTATGAAAAAAAAAAAAAAAATTAGCATTTCTCTCATATTTGTATCGCTGCCAATATCTATGAACCTTCTTTTCATAGAGTACCGATTTAATTAAGTTAAGGTGAATTGAAAAAATATCGCACCGAAATTCGACGATAACAGTTAACGAGACAAACGACCTTGATTAAACGAATCTTTCGGCAAAGTTACACATTAATCTATCCTACTTATTCCGTCTAATAATTTATGTATATATATTTTTGTTGCGTTAAAAAAAGAAAAAAATTTATCGCCGAACAAAAAAACTGGTTTTTCGCTTAGTTGGAACCAATCATACTCACTTTCATCATCGTAAAATATAGCCATAAAGAAAAAAAAAAAAATGAACTGATGAAGATTTGAAATGAAATAATATGGCGTTTTCCAATTATGAAATTTAATTGATAGATCACAATTTTATTAATCAAATTATTAATTAAATTAAAAGTAATTAGTAAAAGATAATGGTTTTAAATAATTTCTAAAAACAAGAATTATAAAAATGGTAATTTTAATAGAAAAATAGAGGGGCTTTTTTCCAGAAATTTTTTCTTAAATCTAATTGTAAATCGCAATCCATGAACGTAATCTGCAAAAAAAGACTAAATTTTTTTAAATGATCTTTCTTGAAGTTTTCTAAAGTTATTCTAGAGGCTAATTCTCTTTAAATATTTATATATTTACTTTAATTATATTATTTATATAAATATATATATATTTTTTCAAGAGTCCTCACCATTACCGGTTAAGCTCGCTCCACTGGCTTGTCACATTGAGCAAGATGCCATGGAGTCCCTTGACGAAAGATAGATGAGTCGCCACCATCATCCGGATGTATCCGGATAGGCAGGTTTACTCCTACGGGGAATCGAACTTCAGCATCGGCGCTCCCAATCGAGCAATAACCCACAGAACTATTCTATCCCAATGATATTTATATATATACATATATATATTTGTATGATATTGGAGAACCATAAGTGCTTGTCAATCTCGTAAAAATATTGCAATCTTAAGAGAAGCGAAGTAAATAACGGTTGTCTATAAATTTATATATGATGAATTTTCTATAAATTTATTATTTATTGATGGTCCAAGGCCTGTAGTATTGATAAATAAATAAATAATTCACTGTGGGATAAAATTTCCTTTATCACTTAACATTATCACTTTTATTTTTTTTATTTTTTATCATTTGACTTTTTTATCACTTAACTAAAATTATCTTTAATTTCCTCTCTTCCATTATTCAATTATTCATATAAATTTTTTCTTTTCTATATGTAACATTAAACTATTTTCATATGCAAATCACTTAGAAATTTGATCTAAATTATCCATTATTTGAATATTTGGAAAATTTTAGAAAAGAGAGAAACAATAAAATATTATAAATATTCATTTCTTTCTTAAATGCACTAAATCTGAAGGGATTTGCAGAAAAAGCTAAAAAGAATAAAAAATTTTTTCCTAAATAAAAATTTGAAACTAAATAAATAAATATAAAATAATAAAATAAAAATTAAAAATGGAACTAACTTTGCCGAGATAAACCATTATCGTATAATAGCACTTAAAGCCATCATAAATGGGTCGCGTCGACCATTCTTTTAGTTCATAGTTCAAATTTTCGCTAATCGACGTGCATGGATCTTTTGGTTCCTTTAAGGATTTCATATTTCTGTAATATTTTTTTTATTTAGAAATTTAGAGCCAATTTAAAATAAAAATATTTTTGGCAATAGCCTTAATAGATTTTTTAATAAATACGTTTATATATTAAAATAAATAAATTATTTAAAAATGAAATAAAGAAAGACAAATGAAAGACTATTAACATTAATTAATAATAAGAAGAATGACATTTTTTTCATTTAAAAAAATACCATTCTTTAAAAATTTATCGTCTTTAAAAGAAAAAATTTTAATAAAATAATAAAATTCCATTATTTTTAGAAAATTTCATTGAAAATGTTTAAAAAAAGAAAGAAAAAATTTTGCATAAAAAAATTTTATATTAAAAAATAAAAAATATAAACTTTATTTTTAGAATAAATAAATTTCATAAAAATTAAGCCGTTTAGTTAATTCGATTTGCGATTTTCCAATGCGATTAAAATCAAATGAAAAATTTTTAAAAATTCAAATAAAAAAAAATTTTTATTTATAAAGTAAAAAATTCATATTAAATTAAATTAATTATTTACTAAATTTATTAAAAATTTAGTAAAATTTATTAAATTTTATTAGCGATTTTCTATAATAATTGGTAGAAAAGCTTTGAAAAAACTATAAAATTTTTTTAAATTTTATAAAAAAAATAATATGAAATTATGAAAATAAAGAATTTTTCCAGTGCAAAAAATAACTAAAAACCAATTGAATTCTCGAAAAGTAAATAAAAAATGCGAATAAATTTATTCATTTTTCAATTAAGAAAAAAAAAAATTAGAAAATTCCATCATATAAAATTCAACGATAAAACTAAATGCCAGCAATAGGAGATGAAGTTCAATGATATGTAACGAGAAAACGATATAACTGTAATCGTTTTTTTATTTAAAATTGTTTTTTTTTCTCGAAATTCTCAAGACGATCGCATTTAGTTGCATTTTCTCATCATTTTCTGCCTCTTCTGGTTAGTTCCACTGACTATTTGGTTCGTTTATTAAGGAATCGATTTTTGTGAGAACCAATTTTAGATAGGTTTGGCAAACATCGGCTTAGTAGAAATGCATAAAAATCGAAAAATTAGATAATTTAAGAAAAATAATAAAAAAATAAAAATCGAAAAATTAGATAATTTAAGAAAAACAAAAAAAATTTTTTCTACAAAATTTTTTAATAATTTTTAATAATAATTGAATAATAATTTTTATTTTTTTATAATTTATTCATCGTATTTATTTAATTTAATAAATTTTAACTGAAATATATATTTTTTTCATTTTCAAAAAAAAATAAAAATATGAATAATAATAATAATAATAATAAATATCGTTGGATTTGAGTAAATAAAAACCTAAATATGTCTCTGTTGAAATAAATTAGAATAAAGCAATTGTATTCAATAAAATATATATTAATGACCTTGCGACCTTTTAAACTCCCTTTTCGTAAATATCTATAATCAATAAGTTTATGCAAATAAATCGAAATAGCTCAGTAAATTTTTAGTTTTTATAGCAAAAATAAGAAATATTTCTGCGAAATATATATATCAAATCAAGTAAATGATTAAATTATTGGCAATAATTTCGTATATCGATAGGCTTTTTTTCCTTTTTTTTTATTATAAATGATAATTTTTTTAAATGAATACTAAAAGTTTTGATAAGTTTACTAGAAAAATTATTTACTATTTTTAAAAGTGATAATAAAATGATAATAGCTATCATATTTTTCCGTTAATGATCTATTTATCAGTAAAAAAAAAGTAAAATGATAACCAATCATTTAACCGAATTCAATACTATCATTAGAATTTTAACGTGATTTTTAAGGAAATTAACTAGAATTTTAGAATATTTAACATATTTATTCTGAAATCTATTCAAAATCTATATTAATAAAAAAATTTTTTTTAATAATATTGTTGTGGATTTCATTAAATGGCTGAATTTAATACAATACAATACTTTATAAAAATAACGGATGATGAATGCAATCTTTCTAATAGCATTCATAATTTCTGGTTTTGTTGGCTCCACTAAACATGAAAATAATAGCACTTCGACATAGAATCGCATGGAGATAAAAGTACAGCTGGGCCGCCATTCAGTTATTAATTAATAATGAAGAAAAAAAAAAAGAATTTTTAAAAGTATTAAAATCAGATTAAAATTTTATGAACTTAATGATTAAAATGATAAGGTTTTTTTTCGCAAACGATTATCAAAAAAAAATAAAAAGAAAATTAATGATAATGATGGAAATGATGGATATGTACGACCACGTTGCATTATTTTCAAGGTTAAATTTTTAAGATCAAATAAGAACAATCTTATCATGAAACAGTTGGAAGACAAAAATTTTTTATACCATATATATGCAAAGAACTCATCAATCATTGCAGCTAACAATGATAATTCTAGTAAATGCAGCTGGAAATAAGAGTAATTCATTCATTTCATATCTCATATAAAAATTATTCAATAGAATTTTATCATTTTAATACAGATTAACCTTTAGAATATCTGAATTTATCAGTGAAATTCATTCTAACTACTTAACAATTAAATTTAATACATTGAAATTAGAAGAAGGACAATTGATATTGAAGAATTGAAATACAATAATAGTTGACCTAAATTTAAAAAAAAAAAAAAAGTCAGTAACCACGCCTGATTAAATGATAACCGTAGAGATAGTAATTATTATTCGAATCTGAATAATTAGCAATCCATATGGTACTGATGGATTGCATTATTAATGGACAAATCAACAAATGAAATATATCCCAGATGAATGGTGAATAAAAAATTTCATGATTTTAAACGATTATAAAGCGATATTATAAATTGAATTACTCTGCGATGTTCATAGCAAATATCTACTTGAATATAGCATGAAAATAAGAATATTTCAGAGAAAATAATACGAGCGCAGGAATCACTAGGAATCCACAGCTAAGAATATTACGTAGAACCGTCAATCTCTTCGATCGCTGACAACAGAAGAACTGAGACTGAGAAGAAGAACTGAGGACGCTCATTATCATTCACAAAGAATGAGCGAAAAATTTCTCTTTAATCAGTAGTGATAAAACAAGTGAATATAACAAATAAAAATGGATTAAAAAAAATGATAATGATAATGAATAAATTATCGACGATGGATACCATAAATCATCACCAAAAATCTAATAAAATCCAAAATGATTGATCCATTTAATCCATTAAAAGGCCGATTTACATTCAACTATAACAATTAATTCAATTTTATTTAAAATAGTGGAAAAAAATTGCAGAGAAAGACTAAATGATGAAAGATAATTTAAATTACAAACTCGAATTTAACAGAAGAAGATGAAATGTTAGGAAGCGAGAGGTGATAGCAATAGAAACTTTTAAAAAAATGATAAATATGTGATAAAAAATGATAAATATATGATAAATTTTAAATTTTTCTCATCAAAAATCTCTAACTAATAATATTTCTAATAATATTCACCAATATTCTCCTCGATTTGTATGGATTTGCGATAATTATTATTCATCGATCATTTACAAATAGATAGAAAATAATTTAATGGGGGGAATAGTAAGTAATACAGGAAAAAACTCCAACTGGATTTCGCTTGCAAATTTTGCAAGTTGTTTTTATGTAAGAAAAAAAAGAATCGAATTCATGATACTGGATTTTTAGTCGAACATCAAATGTAATAATAATAATTTTTTTATTTTTTTCATAAACCATTACTGATTAGACTCGCTTCGCTAACTCTGTGGATAAGACAAATATGCTGGGGAGTCGACAAATTGACAATGGAAATACAGGTAGAAATAAGCTTATCAGTCAGCATCACTCGGATTTTTCTACAGTTTTACTTCGCCTCCGGGAATTGAAAAAGCTCAGCTCAGCACTGTGCACTATCGAATTGAGCAATAACTCATTGAGCCATTCCATTTTCTAATAAAAATATGTATTGTTAAATTTTTTCTTTTTTATGAAAATTATACTAATTGTTAACTCAATGTCATATTAAACTGAGAAATGACTATCAACAACTATTAATAAATGAATTTCGGCAATTTTAATCGCCTTCAAATGTTCTATTCGATATGAAATATTAAAAAAAAAAAAAAACAAGAGTGACGATAACCTTGTGAAAAATGTAAATTATGACGCATGGTTTCACGCAAAAATAATATTAATAACTAACTAATATTAATTAATTAATAATTATAATAATAATAATTAATATTAATTAATAATATTAATAACTAATAATATTAATAACTAATTAGAATGATAAAAATGGTATAATGTTAAAGTACGTTTATCAGTAATATTATCAAATCCATTTAAAAAAATATACAAATAAAATTAATAAAAAATAAAATAAATAAAATAAAAAAAATTTGCAAAATTATGTCAAATTTTTTATTTGATTATTTTGAACAAAAAAAAATTTTTTTTTTAAAAAATAAAATTTATATTGAATTTTATTTATATTTATATGAATAAATGAATAAATGAATCGAAAATCTCATAAAATTCATTATCATAGAAATTTGATTTCTAAGGAGTAAAAGAAAAAAGAAACGATTCCGGAAAAAAGATCATCGAGTTCCATAGTGGAAAATATTCACCTAACAATATTCGCCATAAAATATTTCTCCTCTTATAATCCTTTCAAGTATTTGTATTACATCCTCAAAAAAAAATTAGTAAGTGCCATACAATAGTCTCAAACACCTGTTTGTACAATATTAAAAATTATTCATGAAGAAAAATTGAATGATACAAATATTGTTTGAAATATCAGAAATGAAACATAGGAGGAATAGGAGCATATAACAGAGATATAGCAGATGAAGGCCGGTCGAGTGGCTTGAGTGGTTGACATATTGTTTCAACTAAGGTAAAACCATTCCCTAACGATTACACTCGTCATTTTATGGTGAATTTCGAGTGATGCGTGTAGGCTAGACGAATCAGCCTTTTTGTCTTCCATC